CTAGGAGAAAGTTGTATGTGTCGTCGGTGCTACATTGCACCCTGACTGGCTCGTCTCCTCCCTGAGACCCTTCCGTAAGGGGATGGCCAGTTGCCTACAGATGGGCTTTGGGTCTCCACTCCGCACCTCCCTCATTCACAATGATATGTTTAGGGCCCTCTCTTTCATTGAGTCATCTTGCCTCTCTTTGCTGTGGTGGGTGGGTTTTGTTCTGTCCCACGAAGAAAACAACGGTTCCCTCCAAGGTCAAGCTCAACATAATGCTCTTGTAAGAAAGAGGTTGAGCTGCGTGTGTATAGATCCATTCAAAACAGCACTTCCAAATACCTCCATCCTAGCATCACACTGTTTGTAACAACGTGAACCTTACAGATCCTCGTGGGAAAACTCCCTGAGTATTTAAAAGAAAGTCACTTGTTATCATAACCCCCAGGTGACCAAGAGCCGCCCCGTAAAACTCAAAACACTGGAGATAGGATCATTAGATGACACTTCTGTGTGCCTCACAGATGGGGAAACCAGAAAACCATCGCCAGGGGCTCATGTGACAACAAAGGCCCTGTTTGGAAAAGTTCAGAGCCTGGTGGTTTAGCGCTAGGAGTTCAAATGGTTTAGCGCTAGGAGTTCAAACCCACCCTGCTGCTCCCCAGGAGAACTATGTCGGAATCTGCTTCCATAAAGATTACCCCATGGGTGAAGGAAACCCTGTGGGGCATGTCTACCCTATCACATGGGCTCACGCTGAGGCAAAAACCACCCAGCAATAACTCAGGAGCAGGGTGAGGTCTTTGCAAATGCCACCAAGATGGCATCAGGGAGGACCATCATGTCTCTCCTACTATGAACTAAGCCTGTATCTGCTTCACCTCCTTTCACAGGGGCACATGTCCTGGCTTGGCTTGACCTCCATAACTCTGAACTGATCCACACGACAACAGTTCAAAGGAAACAATCACAGACTCAGTTGTGACAGACACCAGCATCAGGGCTTTCAGTTGTCTCTGCTGCAGAAGAAGCATGATGCGCCAACCCAGGGCTAGGCTTCTCTGATGCCTAGTGATGTGTTTTCTGACAGCGAGCCTGGCGTACTTGTGAGGTAGGGTTCATGCAGAGCGATAAGAGCAAGCCCACTCAGACCTCAGCCCCAATAGTTGGTGACAAGGATCATAAGGTCAAAGGTGGGGGGGATATAACAGGAGGAGCATATTCTCAACCCAAAGTAGTGAGTAATCAATGAGCTGCCCAAGTCCCAGTCAATTCATGACCCAAACCCCTTATCTAGAGGAGCCTCTTGTCCCCCCTTGCAAACTGTAAACAGCCCTGACCCCACTACCTCATTTGACAAAGTAAAACTCCATGGGGCGCCAAAGCTTTGGTAAGTGCTAAGTCGTTCATCACCACAAACACCTCTCCTTGCACAGGTCCTAACCAAGCACTCCCAGAATGCAGAAGCTGCTCCCTCATTTCCAAAGCCTGACAACAGAGGGAGAAGATGATGACAATGACGATGATGATGATGATGATGATGATCCGGCCTTGCTCCTCAACAATGATGAGGCTGACAGATTTCTCCAAGAAATGTATCGGTGGACTCGGTGTTCAAGAGAATGCCTGTTTACCTTTGCTCTCTTCGATGAGTCCCAAACAAAGAGTTGTCCATCAATAAACAAATAAACAGACAAAAATAACTCACTGCAATCGGGTCCATGCCAACACATAGCGACCCGAAAGGCCAGGGTAGAACTGCCCCTGTGATTTTTGAGTTTGCAACTCTTTACAGAGTAGAAAGCCCCATCTTTCTCCTGAGGAAGTTGGTGATTTCAAACTGCTCATCTTTCAGATCACAGTCCATCACATAACCTCTACACCACCAGGGCGCCTGTCGATAGGCAGGACTGGCCAAAAGAGGAGAAGAGCTTTTCTCCTCACTAAATATAAATAACTCTGGTGCCATAGTTATTACATGTTGGGCTGCTAATCCCAGGTCAGCAGTTCGACACCACCAGCTGCTCCATGGGAGAAAGATGAGGCTTTCTACTCCAGTCAAGAGTTACAGTCTTGGAAACCCACAGGGGCAGTTCTATCCTATGTAGTTGCTATGAGTCAGAAACAACTCGATGGCAGTGAGGTTTTTTAAACTATACTCATAGGAGCCCGAGTAGCATAGTGGATTATGCATGGGGCTCCTAAGCTCAAGGGTAGACATTTGAAACCACCAGCTGCTCTTTGGAAGAAAGATAAAGGTTTCTATTCGCATAATGAGTTATAGTCTGGGAAACCTACAGGGGCAATTCTACTCTGTCCTATGGAGTCACTATGAATTGGAACAGCCTCAGTGGCCCTGAGTATTAACTGTAACCGCGCCTTGTCTTTTTCTTTAGCAAGCAGAATCATTATTCACTTTCATGTTCAAAACAGAAACTGAAAAATACTGAAAATTTTTACAAATGGAAACATGGTATGATCTCCAGATCTATCTTGGACCCGGTCACTTTCTTATAAAATCTGATGTGACCATCTTTCTCTTTTAGTTTCCAGAACTCTGCAAATCCCTAGGAAAGCACCGATTCCCCTTCCTCCCCCAACGTGACCCATCACAGTATTATCCAGGGGCGTGCTTTTCAGTCACGTTAACACTGGGATCTCTCACTAGTCCAAGGCATTTCTAATCCATCAACGGAACCCACCTAAATTGATTTCTGTAATGTCCTTCTGTTCAACAAAATCGCCACTGGGCACTGCGGAAAGTGGAAAAAGAAGTTACTGGTCTTGCCAAACAGATAAACATCCGGAGACAACTCTTCACATTTCAGTTCTTCCTCACCATTTCCTCCAGCAAGAGATGTAATCTGAAAGGGAATCGACACACGGCGAGTGAATAATGTCCACCAGAATCAATATTCCTAAACACACACGTGAGCAGAAATGGACTTACCGATACAGCTGTTACCTGGGCAAGACACCAGGTGAAAGAAAGAGCCCGCGTGAGTCGAGCCCAAACCATTGTTGCAGGTGCCTGGAGGTTCTCTGACTGCCAGCAAGTCCTTTCGAACCTTCCCTTATTTGTCTTATTACTCAGCAAACTTTGACCCTTCCTTATGCACTGCGGCATTCAAACAGGTGGCCAAACTAAATGTCATTTGAGGGCAAGGACTAAGTTTAACTTAAAAGTTCAAATGTCGGAGACCGGAGAGAAGTTTTTATAAATTTACTCCTGAGATCGTCATGTGGAAATCAGAAGCCTGCCTGTTTACAAAATAAATAAAGCCTGTTTCTGTAGAATCACTTCTGTCCTAGAGGACAGAGTGGAATGGTCCCATGGCGTTTCCAAGGTTGTAATTTTCACAGAAGCAGATGAACACATCTTTTTCCCCAGAGGCTGCTGGTAGGGTCGAGCCGCCGACCTCTTGGCTAGCAGCCAAAGACCACCAGGGTCCTTTAGCTTCTCCCACAGTAGCAGTGGCATCATAAAGTATAACAGGTAAAAGACCACCTTCACAATAGAATTAAGGACCATCTGCAACATGCTTATCAAGTACTTAGATCTAGGGAAAGATTCATTAGAAAATTTTTTGAAACATTGTAAGGCCATCATAGAAGACCTTTCAAAACATACAACTAAATATTTATTTTTTAATAGGCCAGAGTCACAAAGGTCCAACTTACAGACAAGCCTTACTTTCCCTTTCTAAAAACTCACTGTCGAGTTCATGCCAGCTCATAGCGACCCTACAGGGCACGGTAGAACTGCCCCTGTGAGTTTCTGAGACTGCCGTTCTTTACGGGAGTAGCAAGCCTCGTCTTTCTCCCTTAGAGAGGCTGGGGGTTTCAAACTGCCGATCTTGCAGTTAGCAGCCCAATGTGTAACCAAGACACCACCAGGCTGTAAATTTGCCCTCACTTAGAAAAAATTGAACCAACCCCTATTAGCAGCAAATTCTTCATCACTTGCACCTTCACTTGCTTCTAATGCAGCTTTTAAATCATCAAAAAGAACTTTTCTTGCACTAAAACCCAAACCATACCCACAGCTGACTCACAGAGACCTTAGAGAATAGGGTTTCTAAGGCTGTAAATCTTTACAGAAGATATATATCTATATCTCTATATCTATATCTATATCTATATCCTTAATGGATGAGAAAACCCAGGATAATAAATATGGTGATCCTTTCCATATTACCCTAGAATTTTTATGTCATTCCAATCAAAATTTTAGCAGGGTTTTCAATGGAAATTCACATAAATGAGTTAACCTCTAAGAATAGATTTAAAACTGGATTTCTGAAAAAGAAGAAAAAGAACTGCCTTACCTGAACATCTAGAACTTTTATAAAATCCTGGTAATTAGAGAAAGTGTAATTGCAAGTAAGAAAGATCAATAGGTCTAAAGAATGGAATATCAACCCAAGTCCACTGATATCAAGTTGATGCCGACTCACAGCAACCCTATATAGGGTTCCCGAAACTATAAGTCTTTATGGGAACAAACCATCTTGTCTTTCTTCCATGAAGCAGCTGCTGGCTTTGAACCACTGGCCTTCCAGTTAGCACTCCAATGTTCATCCCACAGCACCACCAGGACTGCTTTACAACAGAACATAAAGTATAAAGTACAGGCAAACGTGCACGGCACAGAGATGGCATATGAGAGTAAACACACACACACACACACACACACAAAACAAATACTGGAACTTTGGTCTCTTCAGTGAATGCTGTTGGAACAATGCAGTTTTCATGTGAAATTATACCACATAATTCACCAAAGTAAACTCTAGTTGAATTTAAAATATAAAAAGTAAAATTTTAACTTTGAGTTCAAAGAAAAAGGAAACTGCCATTAACTTTGAGGTCTTCAAAGTTTAAACAATAAACAAAGCATAGATCCTAAAGGAGTAGAAAAATCAATTTTACTATATCAAAACGTTTTACTTCTTTAAGTAAAAAGAGAAAACATGATTTAAAAATAGACCATAGAGTGCAAGATATATATATGACATATTTAAGTAGCTATATAGATATATAAAATGTATCTAGGTATGTGTGGCATATATAATATGTAATGATGTGTATATAGATATTTATATTAATAATATAAAACATTATATAGAAAATATATAATATGCATAAATTTTATAGTATAATATATAAATTATAACATATAAATATATGATATAAATATAACATGTAGTATATAAAGATCATAATATATGTTTTAATTAATATATAATAAATATATAGAATATAGATACATCTTTTATATAATTATATATGATAAATGTAGTTATATAAAATGAAATAGTATGCATTATATATGATATCTTATGTAAAGAGATAGAGCCATAACAACAGCACATGTGTATGTGTACATATGTGTGTGATTAGTAGCTGTTAGGTGCTGTCTGGTCGGAACTCACAGTGATCCTATGAAGAACGCCTGGTCCCGCACTATGCTCACGATTTTTCCTCTGTTTCAGGCACTGAGCCAATGCATCTCGAGGGTCTTCCTCTTTTTCACTGCCTCTCTTCTCTAGCAAGCACGATGTCCTTTTCCAGGGACTGTCTTTCCTGACAATAATGTCCAAGGTGCACGAGACAAAATCTCACCATCCTTGCTTCTAAAGAGTATTTGGGCTGTACTTCTTTCCGACAGTTTTGTTGGTTCTTTGGGCAGTCCATGGTACTTCCAATATTCATTGCATTACCATAATTTAAATGCACTGATTCTTTTTCACTATCCCTTATTCAGTGTTCAAATTACACATGCAAATGAGGTGATTGTAAATACCATGGCATGGGTCAGGAGCACCTTAGCCCTCAAAGTGGGTGTTAGTCCAGGTAGAGTAGAGAAATGAATTCATAGGCACTCATATGTGTATAAGAAAGAGCTTTATATCAAGAGTAATTTTATATTAAGAAAATATCCCAGCCCAGTCCAGATCAAGTCCATTAAGTCTGATATTAGCCCATATGTC